TATTGCATTATTTGAATGGCTCACTATCTCATGGCTTGTTCATTCGTGGTGGTTCTATGGATCAACTTACTTGTTACAGTGATGCGGATTGGGCTGGTTGTCCTACGACGCGCCGCTCTACCTCCGCATATTGTCTCTTTCTTGGAGCAAACCTCATTTCTTGGTCTTCTAAGAAGTAAAGTGTTGTTTCTCGCTCAAGTGTCGAGGCTGAATATCGCTATGTTGCTCATGCTGCTGCTGAAATTACCTGGTTGTATTCTCTCCTTCGAGATCTTCACATCTCTCTTTCATCACCAGCTACTATTTACTGTGACAATATTAGTAGCATTTATTTATCTCATAATCTAGTTCAGCATGCTCGTACCAAGCACATAGAAATCGATATTTATTTTGTTCGCGAGAAGGTGGCTTCGGGTGCATTGCAAGTTCAATATGTAAATACGGCTGATCAACTTGCTGATTTATTAACCAAAACCTCTTCTCTCTCCAAGGTTAATGCTTCTCCGTGACAAGCTCTGTGTTATTCCTACCAACATATCGCTTGAGGGGGTGTTAAACATAATATTTTGTATATATCTTTTGTAGTTATCTGTTGCACTTATCTTCAAGGAAATTAGATTGGTCCTTTGTATGTATTACTATAATTACCTCATTGTAATTATATTGTCATCATCGAGTATAATATTATTTCAACAGATTGTAGATACGTTTTCTGTTGTTATAAGATGTATTAGATGTATTTAAACTACTGTATTCATGAATACAGTAGCAAAAATAGGCGTGAATCAGGGAAGTCAAGCTAATCAGTTGTTGTATTCGAGTGTATTCAACTGTATTCATCGCGTGAAACATGGGATTACAGCTGGACAGATTATTGTATTCGACTATATTCACGGCGTGAAATATGGGATTACACTATTTTTAAACGGAAAGTAAATCAATTAACATAATAGACTCCTAATATAACTCAACAAACTCAATTATAACACACAAAAATTGTATTTTCAGTTATAAAAAAGATTCTCAACCGAAAAATATCCCAAAAACATAGCAATCTTCAGAGAAATTATATAATACATCTGAATACATAAATTATATTAATTAAAAAAATATATGAATACATTCATGGCATATAGCGAGACAGTGAATACAATGAAATACATAAAATACAACGGGATATATTGAAATACAATGAAAAAAAAGACAGCGAATACAATGAAATACATGGAATACAGCGAGATACATTGAATTACAATGGAAAAAAAAGACAATGAATACAATGAAATACATGNTATTGAAATACAATGAAAAAAAAGACAGAGAATACAATGAAATACATGGAATACAGCGAGATACATTGAATTACAATGGAAAAAAAGACAATGAAATACATGAAATACAGTATAATACGTTGAAATTACATTGAAATATATTAACAAAAATTTTCTTCATCATTGCGAAAGATAAAGTTCTGGCCTGATGTCACGTGGAATTGCTCTGGATTGATGAAGTTGGTTTGATTCTGTCGAAAAGAACTCTAAATTCCCAAATAGAAGAAGACAAAGCAAAAAAAAAAGGCGAATCCGGAGCCAAAGGTAGCGGACTTTTCATTCAGAATCGAAGGCGGAGATCGGCGATGGATACTGCCGGTAAACTCCTGTCGTCGTCGGCCACTAAGCCTTTTGATTTCTCCGACGATTCGGTTCCGAAAAGAGTGGTTCTGTCGCCTGATCAGCAACGCTATTGCTTGGAAGCACTCAAAGTCTTGAGCATCATGTGTTCAGGGAATGGGGGAAGAGAATGGCATGTATCAAAGTAGATAGAGAAAGAAAATAGTGTAACTGAATAGCGTATTTAGTGGCTTAAGGATAGGAGGTAACCAAAATTAGATATTTTGCTATAAACATTAAAAGATATCTATAGAATATAATTTTTTTAAATGGTATTTATTTAAAATAAATAAGGTGTTAACCTTTGCTATAATGGGTAAAAATTCCTAACTAAAATCTGCAGCGCTTCCAAATAAGTCAGGGGTGACCCGACGAGTTTTGTGGCCTAAAGCCAAACTTTACGAGGGGCCTTAACTTTTTGTTTTAAGAAAAAAATTATTTATTTATTTGAAATCTATTTTTCTAACGTTTCTTAGATACAAAGTTATTTATAATTTTCTAATAATCAGTAGCTCCTAATAAGTCTTTCTTAATTGACAATATAGCTAATCCATTAAACCTTTAATGAGACATCGTTGATCTTAGGTGAGATTTTATCAATTTGAATTTTAAAAATTTCTTTCTGCTAAAACGATGGAAACAAAAGTTATTAACATTATTCCATAAGTAATATAGGCATTGAAAAAAGAATCAATTTTTTTTGACCGAGTATATCAATTAAACTGCTATATTCTAATTGTACTATTTTTCTTAATATTTTTAATTCCGAAAATAAGTCTAAACCATCAATATCGAATTAATTATTATTCTTTAAGGAACATTCAACATTAATGCAATATTTTTTCAAATTTTCATCATCTAGTGATCTTAATTTTTATCGCTAAATAGAAAACCGAAAATATTACATATGCTTCATATTTGTTCAATTCTATTTTGAAGTGAAAAAAATAGCATTGTCTACTATGTATGAAGTAATCAACTCCAAAGGACTCTTCGAAAGATTTTGAGATTTTAGTATCAACATTCTCATCAAATTGTTACTTCCTATATATCATACGTTTCTTACGAAATTCGAGTTTGATATTCATTTTAAATGCAATTTTCTTGGCAGAAATCATAGCAGTTGCAAATCCTTCTTCTCTATATTTGTTAAAGAAAGAAATCAAACTTTTTCACTTTACAGAACCTTTTTTTTAAAATTATATATAGCCTATTAGGTGTAACAAAAATGGGCCCCCCACAAATATGGGGCCTAAAACAGTTGATTTACTTGCTTTATGGAAGGGTCGCCCCTCAAATAAGTTCATTCTATTTGTATAAAATAAAATTCTTTTAAAATGTTGTATGTACGCACTAAAAATAATAAAAGTAAATATTAATTTGAGATTTGAAGTGAAGCCTTAAATCAACTACAGTTCCAAATCCAAATTACTTAGAAGCTGAATTGCGACAATAGGCGGACATCATATGTGCAAAATCTGCTGGCATTCAAATGGTATTTCAGGATCAAACCCCCTTTCCTCTTCCTCATACACATTACACATATATACCGAGCTCCATTTCAACATATTCGCCGAGGCTCAAAATTACTTCTCATTATTGTCTGGAAGTTGGCTTTGATTTATTATCATGTTATGTGCTCTTAAAAAAGTTAAAGTTTCATAAGCAGACTGTAATAGACTACAAATGGGTCAAAAGACGGCTTGAACTCCCGACCTATATGCCAAAACATTAGGGGGAGGGGGAGGGTGGGGGACAACTCCAAGGAAATTATTATTTTTAATCCGTTGTTTGGTATCTGCTTTGGAATCCTAACTAATTCAAATTCGTGCAGCATAAGGCCCATTAAAGGAGAAAGAGCTCCCTACCAGGATTTTTTTATCATTTCAAAGCTCGAACCTAAAATCTCTGACTAAGGGTGGAAGAATTGTATCTATCAACGAGTTTGATGGTGTATCAAATAAATAAAGAATAAGGTGAGCAACCGTGATTAAGTGATAGTTTGCTTAATATTCTCTAAATCTTCATTCTTAATACTAATACGAATATGGATGCACCGTTGGGAATAAAATATTATATATTTAATTGTGATATTAGTGCTTCTCACAAGACCGACCTTAGCTCAGTTGGTAGAGCGGAGGACTGTAGTGGTACTGCTGAAATCCTTAGGTCACTGGTTCGAATCCGGTAGGTCGGATTTCCTTTTTCATTTTTTTCTGTGTTTGTTTGCTTTTTTCATTCATCATCAGAAAACTTCTTAATGCTTCGCTTTGACGCAGTTTGGGCAGAAAGTCTACATGTTTCTTTTCCTTAACTTCAGTTACTTGGTGAAATGCAACATTTAGTGTGATTTATTAACACCAATTTGTAATAGTTTTATTTCTACTTGTATGATAGTATGATTTGGAAGATTAACAGATGTTAATCACTGCTCTTAATGTCTACCATTATTAATGCCTTCGTCTACTGGTGGTAAAATGTCTAAAAGAAAACAATTATCCATCCATATTATCCATTAAAAAATGGATAAGAACCATATTATCCACTTAAAAAATGGATAACCAGTGGATAACTAATGAGTTTAAATTATCCCAAAAGTGATCATCATATTCAAGAAGCCATGGATAATAGATATATCCATATTATCCGTCAGTTAACCCATTTTTTATACGCATTGAATATGGGTTGTGTCGGATAATTTATCTGTCTTTGTATTACCTATTTTTAACCCGCTCATATCCCACCCGACCCGACCCGACCCGCTCGTTTGCCACTCCTACCTTCATCTGAGATTGGCATTTTCCAGGTTCAAGTGCTTGATTGAGAATCAGAAGCTGTCATAATACTGCTCCTACTCATTTGCATTGTTTAGACGAGTTTAAGTTCTCTACACTGACGATATATTTTTTCACACAATTAGGTCACCTATAAAGTTCTTATTGGTGTGATCTTGTAAAAATGTTGGAGCTTACTTGCAACTACATGCTAAAAGTACATAGATAAAAAGACAACCTGATGCATTAAGCACCATTATGCACGGGATCTACCAAAGGATGTGGACTACATTAAGAGGCTTTTTTCCACCGCTTGAACCAATGACCTCGTGGTCACTAGTCAGCAACTCTCATACCATTTGCACCAAAGGCTCTCCGTTGTTAAACTGCACTGATGATGTACAAAATTTTACCCTCTCCGTATATATAACTTAAAATATTTTTCTAGACAGAACCAAGACCACTGGCTTTTGATATTTAAGTGTACCTTATCTAGGCTAAGGCAATCATGCCAAATAAGCACAATAGCCTGTGCTTTTAAAGGAGCAAACAGAAAAGATCATTAAGGAAATTAAACATTAAAAACTATTTACATTGATGTTAAACTTACAGAAGAGGGGAACTTCTTATAGGATTTCTTCCCCCTTGCAATGAATAGTCTTTAACTATGAAGTTTAACTTGATTTTAAACAGGATAAATAACATCATTTACACATACAGATAGTAATGGAAATGAAGGTATTACTATGGATCAACAGGGCCTGCCATTTCCTCATCATCCGAGTCATATTCAGCTTCACTTACCTCCTCATCACTTGACTTCTCCTCTGCGGCAGCTCCAACATCTTCTGGTTTGGCATATTTTTGACAATATTCTGGACAAGAAGCATGTATGTTTCAGATTAGTACTAATTTATATGCAGAACTCTCAAGGAAATGCGACAGGATTTAAGTTATATATACTAACAGCGCAATGGAATTTTTACACTATCAGTGCAATTTAACCTGCTATTTGAAGGTTACCTGTCTTATGTTTTGAGTTATTAATTCACATACTACATGTAATTACCTCTTAGATAACCTCATATACCATCAGCAAATAGAAGTTAAAGCTCAAATGCAAAAAAGTGATGAACGTTAATCACGAAGTTTGTAGATGGGAGAGAAGAGTTCCATAAGATAATATCTACAATTTTATGCATCATTAAAGAATGTGATGGCATCCTATTTTTTGCTATTTCATGTTAGAATGCAGGTAACAATTTTTATGTAGCCTAGTCGCTGAAAGAAGAAATGGCCTGCACTTACGAAAGCAAAGAAAAGTGTGAAAGAATGGCATTCTATTAGAAGTAGCAATATAGCTTCTAACTTGGATATCCTGACACATGGAATAATGTTACTACAAAGAGACCAAAAATATGAAGGATATGGCAAAAGCACTAGAAGCATCAAGTGCTTCAGATCGTATCCCAACTAAACCACAAAGGGGAATGAAGCTTACCTGAAATAACCTCCCAGATCAGACTAATTAAGTTCACCAACCACCATAATTATGTATTGATTTGTTCAGGAAATGTGCCCATTGGCATCAAGGATTTTAGGGTTGCACACTATGTTCTGCATACTATCAAAGTCTCCCCTTTTTCATCTATGCTCTTCAGACATGGTATTTCTGCCCCTATCAAATTTCTCAGCAAAATACCCACCTGATAGAGATGAAAGGAAGAGAGATGCAGATTCTTAGCATATATGTATTTATAATTTTTTTATAATGGATAAATCCCTAAGGGCCAACTGGTGCACAGTTCGGAAAACTTGGTGGATAATTGGCTTCCCCCTCTACCCTTCTCCTTAAATACCAAGCTTTTGTTTAGGACAAGGTTCGAACTCGTGACGTGCATCTAACCCACACATCACGTGCTACGGTCTTACACTAGACCAAAGCCCTGGGGGCTGCAGATACTTAGCATTTATTGGGACAGATCTTAGCTCGGAAGAACAAAATGTGTTTGCTCCTACATAAGCAAGAAAAGTTTTGTTGTTCAATGAAGTGGGTTGAGAACCATGAGGTTTCAAGTTCAAATCCCAGCGGAGGCAAAATTCTAAGTAGTTTCTTCCTATCTGTCCAACCGTTGGTGGACAGAGTTACTAATATCTGTGCTGGTGGAAGGTGGCAGGTACCCCGTGGAATTAGTAGAGATGTGTGCAAGCTGGCCTGGATACTACTGTTAAAAAAAAGGAGAAAGTTCTGCCATGTCTCCGAGAATTTCTTCAGCTAACCTCCTCCCAGTGAGTGTTCTGGCTAAGTAGGGTAGGTGCAGAGCAACACTTTTGAAGGACATGGGAGAACACAATTGGGATAGCAGATTTAATCATTTAAACACAACCTGTTTCGCTCTGCTACTCTTTTGAGTTTTGACTGACATTATTTCATCTCTACTTCCTATTGGTAAATTTCCCCAAGAAAAAAGTTGCTTTCTGTAAGGTGAGTTTGTGGATGCTGCTGCTGAAGTTTCTGACTTGCTGGTCCCATATAAATGAAGTAAAAAAGCTAATTAACTAATTGTATTTCCGTCAAAAACTAGGGCCTGTTAATGTAGCATTGGGAGGTTTAACAATTCAAGAAGATGCCACAGTTGGGTGAGCTTCTGCTTATACGTTACCTTTCTCCAGAAAGAAAGTGAAGGCAGGTCTAACTTAAGCCGGCGGCAGCTGGAGGTTCCCTTTTTTCCCCCTATTCTTTTTGTTTTTTTGAGCTGTTTCCAGTTATATACACCATAGGCACCAGATTAGAAGCAACCCAAAACAGATTAGAGATGGTCAGACTCTACTAGCTAGTTGGAACGTTAGAAACAGGTTCACTATGAGTTCTCTTCATTCTCAAGATAATGCATACCAAAGTCACCACTAAGTGGACGTATACCAGAAAGTTTTCCACATTATATGTGGGCAAATCTGCCAGACGCTGTATGAGGACCCCTGACCAGGTTAAACCATACTTGTAGACCGAATGGACATCTTCATTGAGACAGACTAAGAAATTATACGAAGGACAAGACAGAGAAAATGAGAAGGCTGATCTGTCCCAATTGAAGTTTAACCTTGCTTTAGGCGCAAGTGCCAAGTAGGAAGAATAATTGATCGTTTAGGCGACATGTTATCTGCTTCATAGTTCTTTGGCTAGGGATCTCATTTGGTTCTTGCACTTCACTTCCTTTTTTTCAACCACTTCACTTCCTTTCTAATACAGAATTTTCTCTTAAATTGGTTTAAGAACAATTAAGCAAGACCTCAATTTGAACACAATCACTTTTATAGCATAAAAAAACTAACTTCCCAATATTTGAAACGTGCCTATGAAAAGAAACTAAAAGTCAGTAACCTCAATATGTTTCATTAAACCTCACACGGTTCTAACCATGAAATCTTCAAGGGAAGCTAACTTCAGAGCACACTGCCAATATAGAATGCTAACCATATATTAATCTGCAAATATCAAGCAAACAAAGGATAACCAATTCCCAAGAAACCAAAACAAAATTGTTAGATTGTAGCTCTATCAGAGTAGCCTACTCCCGACATGCCTAAAAGAGATTAAGCAGTAAGCACAGACCATACAAAGTACCAAAAATTCAACAAATCTAAAAGTTTTTTTCGTCCTCTTGAAGCTGCTACTGATTTTTATAACATATAAACATCTGATATGACTCAATTTACCTTTAACTCTTTGTTCATACGCAGTTCGGTCTCGCATCATCAAGGCAGCTGCTTCCCCATTCAAAGGGTCCGACGGGTTAGGATACAAGAGAAGTTGTGGAAGAAACACTTCAAACACGTTTGTCAAATCTGCGGAAATTGTTTCAAACCCATATATAATTGCTGAAGACGAAATCGGTGGCAAAGCCATAGAAATTTCAAGAATTAATCATATTCTTAAATCCGATTACCAAACATGGGACTCCAAGTCTGATTGATAACATCTAAACAAACTGAGCCTGACCTGAAAAATGATAATCCAGGAAATTTCAGACTTTGGCTAAACAAAATGAGAATGATGAAATTATCTACACAAAATTACAGAAATCAAGAATTTTACAACTCACATCTCATCAACATTTGGATGATAGATTTTATTAACAAAGCCAATTGATGGAGATTTATAAGGGTAGGCATCGGGAAGTTCAACTTTCACTTTCCAAACTCCACCATGATAAGGACCTGCAAAAGCCAGAATAAGCTCCCAAATACTCTTTTTTTTTTTTTAACTTCAACTTCAAATACACATTTCTCAAGTTCAACCAAATATTGTCCAAACAAGAAAAACAGAATCTGAAGAAAACAAACCCCCCACCCCCCACCCCAACCGTTCATACATCCAATTGAAATGATACTAAAAGGCAGATGTAACCTCAAGATTTATTAGTGAACTACCAATCGGCAGAAACGCGAAAAAAGATAATATATAACAAGATATCCTTCAACTACTCAATTGTTGAGCTAAAACGGCCCAATGATACTCTTAACATAGTGTGATATTGTCCGTTTTGGGTCAAACCCGCACAGTTTTCTCCAAAAGGTCTCACACCATTACAGATCCCTACACCTTATATGTAAAACCTTATATGTAAATTCTCAATCTTTTCAGCTACCAATGTGGTACTTTGTTCACACATCCAACGTCAACATAAGGACTCAAAAGTAATTCCAGATTGACAGAGAAACCTAAGTAGATTCATAACCAAAAAGCACAACTACACATTAACTATGCCAAATATATCTCATTTCAATTTTACCCAAGTTAATTTCCATTTGTTTGTCTAATTTCCCCTTGAAGAAATAAGATAGACACCAAAAGAAACTACCTTTAGGACATAAGAACAAGAACTCATAAGAAATATAAATAATTCCAACCAAATAACAAAGACCCTTTATAGCAAACACCTGAAAGAGCTAAATTTTTTAATATATAGGCTAAAAAGAATGGATATTTACTTTCAGCAGGTCCATGGAAATGCACATAAAATTCTTGCATGCCATCATTGATCATTTCCACCTTGTAATCACTCATCATCCTAATCCAAGAAACCAAAACTAAAAAAATTAAACCAAATAATAACCCCAAATTAATAAACTTAATTTATACACAAAAAAGAATTAGTTAGACAGCTCACAGCTTCATCAAGTCCATTTCTCTCCGTTTGCTTGGTGAAGACATGAT